ACTTTAAGACTTTTACTCAAGTGATATTTTTAGAGAAGTCTTTAACTTTTACTAAAGTATTTTTATGATAAGATACTTGTATTTTTACTCAAGTATCACTTTGAGGTACTTTATACAACGCTGCAAAAAGCATAGTATTCACTGTGCTTGATTGTGAATAAAATATGACTTTCTGAGTTTTGTGAATCTTTGCTTTTTGTTTTTAATTTACATTTTGCACAACTTCCTGACTTTCTAAGGTTTGGGGTTGCACACCATTTGCCTCTTGAAGCTTTCTCTTAGTTTAAACTGGTGGAATTCAGCCAAAAGCTCCTCTCTGTATTTTATCTCTTCATGTTTACTTCAGATTGCCCCAGCTGAGAGCCCAGATGTTACTGAGAGGATGGTCATCATTACTGGAACTCCAGAGGCACAGTTCAAGGTAAAAGCAACCAACTCAATGTGCGAGACCTTAAGACGAAAGCTCTTTTCTTTTGGATCTCATAGACCTGTGTGTAATTAAGTATAGTAAATAGCAGTGCATCACTGTGTGTCTCCATCTTCCCCAGTCTCTCCTTGCCTCATACCCTCCTTTGTATTCCAGGCACAAGGCCGGATATTTGGGAAACTGAAAGAGGAGAACTTCTTCTCAGGAAAGGAGGAGGTCAAACTGGAGACGCACATCAAGGTTCCCTCCACTGCAGCCGGCAGGGTCATCGGCAAAGGTGGCAAGACGGTGAGCAGACACTCTGTACCTCTAGTCAAGCAAAAAAGTGTCCTCCTTGTCGAATATCACCCTTTTGCATGTTTCACTGAGGCAAATGTGATACTTTTACTGTCAGTCTGTGTTCTGTAAGTGAGGCCGACGGTGAAACTGAAGGTGAGTTCCTAATCCCTGACTCGCGTTTCAGGTAAACGAGCTGCAGAACCTGACGAGCGCAGAGGTCATTGTACCGCGGGACCAAATTCCTGACGAGAACGACGAGGTCTTTGTGAAAATCAGCGGGCATTTCTTTGCCAGTCAGGTAAGCGAGAAGTAAAATCAGCTCGGATTGTTCCATTTATCCAGTTAACAGGAAGCAGCTGCGTTTCCATTGCAAATGTGCGCAAATGTTTGTTGATATTCTGTTAATGTCGAAAAAATACAGTTTCGCAATTGCAGTGTTTCCATTATATAAGAAACGCTATTAAAGTCATGCATGAATACGCTTTTTCTTACGATAATTCATTACAAACATGGCGGCAATGGATGTAAACACATAGCATATTGCTACCACGACACTAGCGCTCATCATCAGAGGAGACGTCGGCGTCTTATAGAGGCTTTCGAGTGAAAAGCTCCTTATACCTGGGAGYGGCKACGTATGCTGCGTTTTTGGGAAAATGTAGTCGTGAATTTAATACTTTCTTTTACTACCGTACTTTGGTGATTTCACTGCTACTTTTACTTTCTGTTATCTTCTTCGTCGTCATCTTTTTCACCAGTAGAAACAACCGGATGTTGATCACGTGACTCTCGTGATGCGAAAAAAGTGTTTCCATTGTAGTTTTGCAAAATACATCAATTTCGATACGGCTGAAAAACCACCTCTTCCTAGCGCAAAGACATTTTGTCGAAAAAAAGTAATTTTTTTCGAAATTGACGTGTTTCCATTGAGCAAATTTATTATCGAAATTCTAATTTGCGCATTTTCATGGTGAATGCAAACGCAGCTAGTGAGGCGGAGAAAACTGCAGCACTTGATAGTAAATTCGCAGTAAGAAGGGTTTACAAATTGTTAAAGTGAAAAAGGCATGAATCAAAACGTGATGTTTAAAATTCCAGTCACAGAAGGGCTGAGAACTCTATGTGATAAACGTTTCTGAAGAGCTTCCTTTTTACGTTCTCCACCTTCCTCATGAACCCCCGCTCCCTCCAACAGACGGCACAGAGGAAGATCCGGGAGATCATTCAGCAGGTCAAACAGCAGGAACAGAAGCACCAGCAGGGCGCCGCCGTGTCACCGCATCACTCCAAGTGACCTGCGACGTGGCTCCAGCGGGGCACCAGCCAATGAATGTAGCCCTCCCAAATGGACAGAGACCTACCCAGACTAAGGCCAAGGCCACGGAGGACACACAGGGCTGACCAGCAGCACCGGGATCAAAACCAAAGAGCTTCGCTGAAGGGGGGAAACAAGTGAGAGCCAAAGGCTGAGGGCGTCGTGTGCACTGCCAGCCCTGCAAGAGCAGACAGAGCAGGAGGAACCCTTCTGATAGAATAAAATGAAAAAAGACCAAAAAAATAATAATAATAACAAGGAAGGTGGATATGATTTAAAATTTGGAAACTGTTGACTTATCAGTTTAAAAACAAGAAATATGTCGCCCTGCGTAATGTTATCTCTTTAGTTGGACTAACATAGGCCTAACAGACGGATCAAACAAATAAAACAAACGTCTATTAACGTGAGTGTACACGAAGCGTTTGGATCAGTAGAACATAAGCAAATGACAAAGGACGCCTCCTCCTTTGAGATGATTTAGATTGTGAGGTAAAACATCCTTAGCAGTATTAATGCAGAGTAGAGACGTACACTGATACACACTGAGAGTATGCACTGTTGTTTTTTATTTGAGCAAAATGACAGTCCGGCYAAGTGCAGTTTTTAATACTTAGCTTGTTCAGGAGACGAGGTCGTGGGCCTCATGAAGCAGTTCCCCTGGTTTTCTTTGCTGTTTAGGCCACCTAAATGAAAAACAACAACAACAAAAAGGAAAAAAAACACCCCTCCGAGTAAAATATGATGAATGAGTTTTTGTAACAAGCCTGTGTGTGTGTGCCAACGCAAAAGATAACGTCCCTTTGGAATGGCTCTCCTTGTCTTTTAACCGTTATTTCTTTTCCACTTTACTTTCTCATCACTCTCTCGTCTGGCTTTTTAGTGATTACAAATATACCGTTTTTTTTGTAGCCTTTTGATGACATTTAACTGACTGCCACTTTTTGCTCAACAGAGGTAAAATACAGCAGAGGGATTTTAACTTTTATAGTTAGTTTCACACTTAGACGCTTTGCAGAGATGCCGCAATCCATGCTTGTCCTGGGCCCGTATTTATCTAACTTCTTAGAGTGGATTTTTAGACTTAAGTGCTGAAAATTTCTTAGATTTGCTCCTACTCTCAGACWWRWGTRWA